TGTCTGAGAAGGGAGCTAGGAACTGGACAGGTACTGTGTGTGATTAAGCCTGCCTCAGCCATCTCTCCTTGTTTTATTCAGGTAACCCCTCGCTTCCAACCCCTGTCCACTTCCCTCCGCCTCCCTCTTGTTTGCTCCCTGTTCCTGCTGGGCATGCTGGTCAGGTGGGGGCTTGCGCTTTCCCTCCTGGGTGTGTGTGTGTGTGTGTGTGTGTGTGTGTGGGTGGTGTGTGTGTGAGAGAGTGTGAGTGTGTGTGTGTGTGTGTGTGTGTGTGTGTCTGTATGAATGATACCACCGTTCCTGGCTCAGCTTGCCCTTTCCATCCTCATTTATGCTTGCAATTGTAGCCACCCTTTGTACTGTGTCCCTTCCCTGCTGAATGGGCAGAGCTGCTGCTGGTGTAAAGCTGGAGTTTCTCTTGCACAGCTCTCAGGCATGACCCAGGCCCCTAGGAGGCAGCATGTCTGTGGTAAGGAAGGCTGGCCAGCTGTCTGAATGCTCCGAGCTTCAATTTCTGTGTGCGTGGGTGTTCATGAGCCAGGTGTGCAGCTACTACACTGTACCACAATGGCTTCAAATATTTAAATGTATATACTGATTTGCACATGGGTTCGTTACAGCATTTATTGTTCCTGGATATGTGGTTAGAAGCACTTCTTAACTCTTCTTTGATTACCTGAGAGCCACAGCAGCTGCAGACCCCAGCCGTGTTTAATTTAAAGCATGTGTTTACACGGGAACAGTGCACAATAAGAGAGAAGTCTGACGCTTGGGAGTTGCTGTTTTAGTTTTGGTACTGTGACAGGCAGCCTGTGCATTTGGGCCTGAGGCAGTACAGTGTAGCAGAAGAGGAAAGACCCCCTTCACAAACCGGGTGCTGGCGTTTGGCACATGGGCCTTGGGGAGCATTCTAGATGGAACCTGGTAAACTGAGAACTTGTCACAGGGTTATTTGCTGAGCAAACCACCCTTGGTACTGTAGTACTTAATGTCATACTCTTGGAAAATCTCTTGGGCACGGACAGGCTTAAAGTACTGTCCTCCTGCCTCGGTCTCTCAAGTCCTGGGGTTATAGGTGAAGGATACCATGCCTAGGCAATTTTGTTTGTTTTTACATTTACTTAAATGTCATCAAGTGGTGCAGCTAACTTTTTCAACCGGGCTCCTGTTTCCAAGATGGGCCTAGTTACTGTAGAGCTGTGGCTGATTTGGCCAAACAGTCTACAGTCTCCTTGGAATATGTTCTGTGATTCACAGATTCACCGGCTTTTACTTTTTCTTTTCTTTTCTTTTTTTTTTTTCTACACAGGGTTTCTCTGTAGCTTTGGAGCCTGTCTGGCATTCGCTCTGTAGACCAGGCTGGCCTCAAACTCACAGAGATCCACCTGCCTCTTCCTTCCAAGTGCTGGGATTAAAGGCGTGTGCCACCACTGCCTAGCTAGTTTTATTTTCTTTATAAAGAATCCTATTTGTATGCTTGTGCTGAAAGTTCAAACAAACAAACAAGGCTGGGTGGGTAAGAAAATCAGTGTAAGTGTGCTTGTTTCCACAGTGATAGCCTGAGTTGAACCCCAGGACTGATAGAACCGCCCCCTGAAAGCATTCTTCTGGCTGGTGGTGCTCACTGTTGCTAGGGACACCACCTCATGGCTTGGCAGTTGCTGCTTTGGCTTCTCCTTCGTCATCAGTGGGTAATCAGGTGCTTTGGAGCTGTGCACATGCTGCATGGCCTTAAACAGTGTCTTGCTCCTCTTCTGCACGCCAATAGGGACACCGCTGCCTTCTGTTCTTCAGACCTCAGTTAGTTAGTAGTGGGTTCATGCGTATTTTATTTTAATAATTTATTTAAATTTATTTTGTTTGCATTGGTGTGAAGGTGTCAGATCCCCTGGAACTAGAGTTACAGCTGTGAGCACCCATGTGGGTGCTGGGTCCTCTGGAAGAGCAGCCAGTGCTTTAAACTGCTGAGCCATCTCTCCTGCCCCTGCATATTTTATTTTTTGTATTATGATCTAATGATACCATTTTTTTATTCAAAAATTCCATCCTTGGCCACCAGCATCAAAATGGCTCTAATATCTGATAGGGCCCCTCCCCACTCCCTCCCTCCCAACGATTCTCACATTTTGATGTGCCCATTATTCTTTGTGTCCCTTCTCTACAGTTCCTCAGGGTGCCGCAAGCCGCCCCCCCACCCCCCCAGTTCCCTGTGTAATCAAATCTGATGGGAGACACTTCCGCACAGATCCTAGGTCCGCCCAGGACTGTACTTAGAGACCCAGACTGGGCTCCTGGCATGCTGGTGTTTGTGTGGAGTTGGGTACAGTTTTGCCAGAACTGACCTGTGTTAGGTGGGCCAGTATTTGTACATTGTGTGTTGTAGAGAACCCAAACTTCAGTGAGCAGAGGGAGACGGAGAGACTTGGCTGGAACAGGCTGAACTGGGAGAGTTGTGTGTCTTGAATGGCCTGTGCTCTGTTGTGTAGTGAGTTCCACAACACATGGAAAGAACGTGGGGCTGGAGGATGCTGTTAGGTGATGCTTAAAGAGACAGCTAAGGAGCGGGTGCTGTTTCAGGAGGAGGCAGCTCTGCTTGTAGATATCAGAGAGGCAAGGAAGAGCACCTGTCCCCTGGCACCGTGAGGCATGGAAAAAGGGGACATTATGGGAAATGCCGAAGAGCGTTGCCTAGGAAGACTCTGCTTTCCCTGAGACATGGGAACCAGGAGGGAAGGGAGAGAGTAAACGTGGCGTATTCCTGGGTGATAGCGCTTGTGACTGGGGTTGGGACTTTGATCTCTAGTCACATGTCTCTGGCCCTATTCTGGGAGGATAGTCTTAGCAACAGAGGAAACTGGTGCGTCCTCAGCCAGGCTGTCCTGCATGAAGGAAGGACAGAAAGTGGACACCAGGCCTATGGGCCACAGTCTTACTAGTGTAAGCTCCAAACACCCTCCACTGTTCTTTGTATAAATGCTAGAGTTTCTGTAGGGACGTGTGGAAGCTGATAAAAGGGTGGGTTGGTTTTGTTTGGTTGGTTTTGGTTTTTTGTAGTCTGGCTGTCCTGGAAGTAGCTCTGTAGACCAGGCTGGCCTTGAACTCACAGAGATCCACTTGCTCTGCCTCCTGAGTGCTGGGGTTAAGGCTTGTGCCACCACTGCCCAGGGATGGAGATTTTAAAATTTGATCACTAATGACTAATTGCCTTCTAATTTTCGTTCAATTCTACCCCTGCCGACACTGAGCTAAACATGTCTTTGTCATGACGAAGCATTGTTTATCTTTGATCACTCCTTTCACTCGCTGGAGAACAGCAGAGAGAACTGTGTGGGTGGGTGGGAATGGATGGACTCGTTTCTGCCGTCACCAGTCGACTGCTGCATAGTTTGCTCCCGAATCACCGCCGTTAGTGTTCGCGGTACTCCATTTGCTGTGCGTGTCTTTTGCTGTTGTTCTGACCTTTGCTGGTCTGCAGCAGAAGCTCACACACACCTTCTAAACATAAATTTCTTGTCAGTTTTGTTGTGACTCCTTCCTTCCGAAGCTGCCAGTCATGTGTGTGTTTATGTCTCATTTCTTTTAAACCTCTAGAATTTGTGCCTTGTTTAAGATGGTTTTTCTTACACCTAAGTAAATAAAGATACTCCGCTTTTACACTTTTTAAATTCACTCTCCTTTTTTGGGTACAGAGTCTGTGAGGCTATTATCAAATGGTTAGTTAGATTTCAGCATTACGTATCGAATCATTTGTTCTTTCTTTACTGATTTAAAGTGCCGTTTCATTACAGTTATATATGCGGGTCTGTTTCTCTCTGTTGATTTGTTTGTCTCGCCCTCACTAATACCAGCCTGTAATTACAGAAATTTATAGCCTATCTAATATCTGGTAGTGCGAATCTCTGTTCATTACTCTTTATTAAACTCCCCCCCCCCCAATTTTGTGTGTTTCTCTTCTGCACTTACTTTAGAATCAGCCTGTCAAATTCCATTACAGGAAAATCCCCTCGGGCATCTTGATGGAGCTGGCACTGCTGTGTAGAGCCTTTGGCAGGGAACTGGTGTCTTTAGAATCCTTCTGGGAGTGTTTATTTAAAGAGAACATTCCAGGTGTTCTTTCTCAGAGTCCTGTGGTTGTAAACGAGGACAGCATGGCAGTAGGAAGAGGCAGAGCCTTGGGTGGAGGGTCCCTCACCAGAGCCGGGGACGGCCACACCGCCCTTTTGGCAACACTCTGCTTTGTCCTTGGGAGAAGACTGCCTGAGCCTGCTGTGTGTTGGGGTGGGGGCGAGCTGCTGCTGGCCACCCGGACACCCCTCTCTGCAGGCCTTCTGCTGAGCTATAGGCAACCCCAGAGTCAGTGTTTGTGGCTTAGCTGCCAGAGCCAACTGCCTGGCTCACCATTTCCCCTGTTCATGTCCAAGCAGGGGTGAGTAAGTACAGGGTGGCTTTTTGTTGTTGTGTTGGTTTTTTGTTTTGTTTGTTTTTTAATAAAAGCTTTAAAACATTGGCTCAAAAGAGGATTTTAAGCATTTCACTGGACTGGACTTTTCTCTCCTGTTACCTACTGGCAGTCAGGTAAACATAACAGAGAGTTCAGAGAGTGTATCACTCGGTCACTTAGTGTTAACATGTCACTGTTCTATGATCAAGACAAACCCTGCACAGAGCCAAACTCACAGAGTGCTCCAGGGTTAAAGAGGCAGAGTCAGCATGTGACTCTGAACATCTGTGTTACACAGCAGAGCTCCCATGGAAAGGGGGCCTCAGAGGGTTGTGCTGTGGCTGGGGATGGGGGGACGGGCTTCTGTAGTGGATGTGAGTTCACACTCACTGTCTCAGCAGGCAGGGCACTGACATGACCTCTCAGTTTAGAGGAGAAGCTTGGTGAGTGGCTTAAATGGCTGGTAATGGAATGACTGCCCGGGACCAGACACCACTAGTCAGCAGCCAGAGCTCTTGACATGTCCATATAACCATGTAACCTGTGCTTGTCATTCCAGAACTACACTCAGTACATCCCTCTGTCCATATATGACCTGCAGACGTGGATGGGCAGCCCATCCATCTTTGTCTACGACTGCTCCAACGCTGGTCTCATCGTGAAATCCTTCAAACAGTTTGCACTGCAGAGGGAGCAAGAGCTGGAGGTGAGGTGCTCAAAGGCCAGCATCATGTGTGCCTGCGTTCGTGTGTATGTGTATACGTATGCACATGGGTGTGTGGGTGCATATGCACGTGCATGCAGGAGCGTGTTTGAGCCTGCGTAGATGAGGTGCTGGGGGGGGGGGGGATTGGGAAGCTGGGTGTTTTGTGATGAAAGGTTTGGTGTGTTGAGGCTGCTAGGGATGTGCTTCAGGGGTAATAACTTCAGGGTGGATTTATTGTACTTCAGTGGTCTTGCTCTTGAAGCTAGTTTAAAGTGTTACACATTTGTTTTAAGAAGAATGGGCTCACACTTACTTGGCAGGGGAGATACCATGATCACGAAGGTGGTTTTCCCAGGATGAGGCTTATCCATTACACTTCAGATGTGCTGACCCCTGCGATTCAGGAAACTTGGCTGCATAATCTGTGGTAGTGGGTTACTGTGTTTTCGCTCTACCCTGAAAAAAATAGAAAGAAAAATGGGCTGATGTATTCACCAAACTAAATGGTAAAACCAAAACAGCTGCTAGGTAGGTCCATTGTCAAGAACTGGAGTCAGGGAGCTGCTTGGATAATGAAGTGATGTTTTGCCCGGTTGTTTTAATTAATATTTGATGGTTAAATTAAACAGTGAGTTCTAAAGAGAAATTGAAGAGGCAGTTTCAATTAAGGCCTCCATCCAGTGGGCTGCACGGAGCTCTAGTGAGAACACTCTGTGGCCTCTGGGGGCTCATGAATTCTGATTGGTTGCAGCACAGGAAATTCTCAATCCAAGAACAAAAATCACCTTCAGTAAGTTTCCTGAAGCCTTTTTAGATCTATTTAATTTTAATGTGTTTGTTGTTTTTCACATTTTATCAGAGGAGAGTACTGGAGGAGTCAGCAACAAAATTTGAAATTCTGTTTAATAGAACTTACAGTTAACATGTCTACTGTTTAATATTGTATATGTGTAAATTTACCCTTATGTTGAAACTGCAGGACAGTGACTGATAAATATAACACCGTTTCCCAGGGTGCCACAGCGTTGCTCACTAACTAGCCTCCTTGTATTTGGGGACCAGGGTTTGTGTCACCCTTCACTGGCTTACTTCTCGCGCACAGCCTTGCCATGTGGGTTTGCCCAGGGCGGGCTCGCTTTTCAGCAGTAAACTCCCCAGTTACCTCCCCAAGGAAGGAAGTTTTTCATTTATAATGTCAATAAAAGTACCAAGGAATCCTGCCAGACTCTCAGCCTATCCCTGAGCTGGGGAGCAGCAAGGGAAGCAGCCAGCTCACCAGGCTCATTAATTAAACCACACCGGGCAGGAACCTCTCCCCTTCCAGCGGAGGCACAATTACAGCCCAAGCATCTTATTAAAGGCCCGCCTCCCAGCTCTGTGGCACTGCTCTGTCAGGACCTTGTGTGTTCTCTGGATGTTGCCAAGGATTAATCAGCCACAAACACTATTCACTTCATTAACTGCAACACAACGAGTTACATACATCATTTTTGGAAGTTTAAAAAAAAAAATAAAGTTCAGTAGACTCATTTATCATGAAGGACATCAAATGGAGAAAATGTTGGCTGATGCGGCACATGGAAGTAGGTGCTGTGTTACGCCGTGTGTTTCATAATTAGCTCAGCTTTTATCTTCATTCTCTTTATAATTACAATGTAGCCTGAGCTTGTGTTTCTCTTTCACACTTACTATTACTGGCCATTGTTCAGTTTCTTGCATAAACAGCGGAAATTAGAATCATAGAATTTTATAAAATTGGCTCCCAGCTAATACCTTAGTTAGTCATTTCACTTTCTTGTGTAGAAAAACAGCCCAGCATAAATTATTAGGCTTATCCTTCCAGTGTATTCTTCCCTGACCTGGGTGTGGTGGCGCAGGCCTAGAGGACCAGGAGTCTGAGGCCAGTCCAGGCTAGGCCGGACGTGTTTTCATTATCTAAGGAGCCAGTCCAATACCCAGTCCATCATACCTGAGCCAGCCATTTTCTTTGTAAATTCACAATATATGTTGTACAATATGTGAACTGACAGAAACTGTTGAGTGATTGCTTTGTGCCCGTTTTAGGGACAAAGCATTTTGCTGCTGCTCTGGTTTGCACTTGGAGGGGGATGACAACATCCCTGTCCTTGCGTCAACCGAGATGCAACTGGGGAATGTATCTGTAGAGTGTGGAGGAGGGCAGAGAAGAGTGGAAATGATTGAACATAACACCCAAAAGTAGCTGGTTGGACCAGAAGCCCCCAAATAATAAATGTAAACACGCACATGAGTGACATAAATTTTAAGGGGTGATTTTTCTGCTCTCGTTTCCTGGTGGTGTAGCGCTTGCTCTGGCGCCCTGGGGTTTGGTTGCTGCGTACTTCTCTCTCTCAGAGGAAAACTGTAGGTAAAGGAGGCGTCAGCTTCACAGCAGCAAGCAGGAGCTACTGCAGCTGAGTGACGCTTCATCAGGGCCACTCAAGAGTCTTCCCTGTTTTTATTATATCACGTGGTTTTGTAATTTGAAAATTAAAGAAAACCTTCAAGTCTCTCTGCTTTCACTGTCCTTTTGAAAGTATTGCTTTAATTTTGACGAAAATAGCATGGCGCTTTTAAAGTTAGGAGATTACATTTGTGATGAATAACGTAGTTCTCGGGGCCACTGTGGTGGGGGCTGTTTACCTCCATCTCCTGGCCTCCAGGGGGTGTGGGGCCCCATTTCTTCCTGTTTAGCTTGTTTGTGCATGAATTCTTGTTCTTACACAAACCAGAAGCCAAGCTGCCATTGGGGGCAAGTCTCTTTAAGGATGAGAGGCCCAACAGTACAAGCCTCTGCTTCTAGCAACTCAGGAGGCCAAAGCAAGTTCAAGGCCTGCCTGGGCTACATGGTAGGTTCACAGCCAGCCCCATGGAGACCCCCATTTCAAAAGGAAAGGTCAACGGGCCCGCCAGGTGGCTAGGTGGGTAAAGATGCTCACCACCAAGCCTGACAATGTTTGCTTTGATCTCCAAACCTGCATGGCTGGAAGAAGTGAATCAGAAAGCAGATGGAGGTCTGATAGTGGACAGTCTGGTAGTTGCAATTGATGTTTATTTTTTATCTGACTGCACTGGAAAGAGAAACCTCTGAGCTCATGGGTCCTTGTTGCCAGCTCCCTCTTCCTCTGTCTCTGCTGCTCAGTTGTAATGACATATTTTACTTCTCTGTGGTTTGTGACCTTTGTTAAATTTTTAATATACATTCTTATTAATTATTTGGGAATTTTATATAATGCCTTTTGATAATATTCGCCACCACACTCCTCCCTTAACCCCTCTCAGATCCACCTATCACTTCCCTGTCTCCCTGCTCTTTTAAAATAATCCAGACTGAGTCCAGTCTGTCTTGCCCAAATACACCTACCTGTATGTGAGGCCATACTTGTCAGCCTACAAGAAAATTGACTCTTACTCTCAGAAGCCATAAACTATCAACGGCTCCTCAGTTAGGGGCAAGAGCTCCATGCCTGACTGTTGACTGGCATGGTCTTGTGCAGGTCTTGTGCAGGCAACCACAGCTGAAGTGAGTTCACACATGCAATGATTCTGTCGCGTCCAGAAGACACTGTTCCACTCAAGTCCCTGACCTCTGGCTGGATCAAGCTATCCACATCCTCTTCCTCCTTGGACCCTGAGTCTTGTTAGTGTAGTTGGTGATACAGCTGTACCATTTATGACCAAGCACTCACTCCACAGGTACTTAGGGTTTCTCTATATAGTCTTGGCTGGCCTCAAACTCAGAGACCCGCCTGCCTCTGCGTCCCTTGTGCTGGGATTAAAGGCGTGCACCGCCACCACCTAGCTGGCGCTTTCTTTTTGCACTTTGATTACTTGTGCATTTTTGGTACTGTCTGCATACAGCACAAAGAAACTCCTCTAATGAGGTCTGAGAACTGCACTTATATATAGGTGCAGAGATACAAATTTAGAAGCCAGTTTGATGCTTTCTGCACTAGTAGATTAATAGTAGTAGCCTTGCAACGTTAATGATGTCATTAGCAGGTCTGTTTGAGTCTCAGCAGCTGTGGTCAATACCTTCCATGTTTAAGGCTATGAGCACCTGGCTTTTCCTTTGCTTCTCGTCTCCCCAACTGTGATTTCTTTCAGCTGTGATTTTTCTCATACTGACCTTTTGTTCCCAGCTCTAGTCGAGTCTTTGTGCTTGGTGTGTGGAGGTTGAAAGATGACATCGCTGAGTGTGGGGCTGGGTTGGGGTCCCACCCGAGTTGCATTTTCTGCTCTTCCTGGAGAGAGCTTCCTTTCCCTTGTATTCAAGGCTCTGTGTTCCCTTGCCACTCATGTTCCCCCCTGTCCTGCTGATGGCTGACTGCAGCTCCAGCCACCTCTGTTCTGGACTCACCTCTTCCTTCTTGTTACTTGGCTGTGTTCTGCCCATGCAGCCCAGGCACCAAGCCCAGAGGATGGATGACAGCAGTCTTCCTGGGCCCAGAACATTTGCATTTGAAAAGCTGAAAGCAGGGAGAGCGAGCTGGCGATTGGATTTTAGACAGATTACAGTTTATCTTTTTCACTAATAAGATCTCCAAGGCGAATGATGTACTCCTTGAGTAGTGCCTGCGGGAGCCAGCTACTTGTCCCTCTCTGGCATCCTCTGTGGATGTTTTATCCTGACTGCGGCTGGCCTGCCACAGCTCCAGGCTGCTCTTCTGTTTCTCCAGGAGGAGGGAGGGGCGAAGGGGTAGTGCTGCCTTCTCCTGCTTCAAATATTAGAAGTAAGTGTAGGCTTTTGTCTGAACGTGCCAGTGACTGGAGGAGAGAGAAAGGAGTTGGGGATGGTCATTGGATTATCTGACAGGAATAGCAGCCCCATCGCAGCTACACCCATTGTCCATTGCTACAAGCTGTCTTTCCCCTAACTCCACTCTCCCTACCTCAGCAAAGATGCTTCTGAAAATCAGGCCAGACGGTAGCCAGGGACCCGATGGGACTCTTGCCACCACCCACATAAAGCTCAGGGAATG